GGAACAAAACTTCCTATATTCAATCTCCCATCTCCCACCTCAGCCTTCCCACAACTACAAAGTGAAAGGAAGGAAAGTCGCAGCTACGCTGCAGACTGCGGTGCTGTACTGGCTGAGACCCTGCCCTGCGCCTGGCATAGAGAAAGTGCTCAGTAGATACCAACCTCTCTCCCTTCTGTCCCGCTGGATGATCACGAACGTACTAGGAGACCAGCCCAGCCCGCGCCCAGCCCGGCCCCCGTTCTGACAGCGTTGGGCTCCCGTACCTGGAGAGATCTGGACTTTGCAGCCTGAGTCCTGCTGGATTTTGTTGATCTGTTCGCCTCCTCTGCCGATGACTAGGTGGGGAAAAGGGGTAATGCAGAGGTTGACGAGGGCACCCCAGCGCTCAAAACACTGTGTGGCAGGGCTTCCTGGCCCTCCTGAGAGCCCCACCTGCCCCCACCCAGAGAGAACAGGTGAGAGCAGAGGACAATAGACCTCACACCAGAAGCTCCTGAGCCAGCAGGGGCTCCCAGGACACATCCCTGAGAGGCAGGGAAAACGGACATCCCACAGCGACCCACACTCACTCAGTCCCACCATGCCGTCTGGGACCCTGTACTCTTCTGTCATTGAAGTCCTGCAAGAACAGACAATGAAAGTCAGTCTCAAGTGAGAAGCAGTAGACAGATGAGGGTCTCCAGGAGAAAAGGCCCCTCAAAGCCAAAGCCCCTGACCTGTGGGGCCCTTGGCCTACTGGCCTCTGCCCATGCTTCCCACCACATCTGGACCAGGACCCCACAGGCCTAAGCAGAGTGTGACAAGAGCACAGGGCTCCCTCTCCCCACAGCAAGCCCCTCAACTCTCAAGGCCTCAGATTCCCCATTCAGGCCACAAGAGGCTTGGTCGGGGTCAGCGTGGCCCCTGAACTAGTGCTGCTCCCACCAACTCGGAGCAAGAGCAAACACTTGGACACGTCTATGTAATTCCGATAATCATTTCAGATCTCTTGGCTTAAAAAATAAAAGTTTGTATCTTTTCCACGTCAGCTCCCTAACAAGCCAATTTTACTGCATTTCGTATAAGCAAAAAAAACAAACAATGTGGTCCTTCACAAAGACTTCTACATCAGATCCACTGAAGTCGTGGGCGGTGGGCGGCAAAAAGGTAGGAAAGAACCCCGGGCCCCACCAGTTCTTGGGGATCAAGCATTTGCGGAAGGCAGACAAGAAACCCATGGCCGGCCCCCAGCCCTTCTAGAAAGATGGCTGTCTACTGCTAAGTGTCCCACCACAGCGCAGGCAGCAACAGGGTGCAAAGACCGCCCCTCCCTGGGCGCTGCACACAGGCAAGCACAGGAGCAAAGGCAGCTCTTCTGCCTCCTGGGCTTCTCTGTGACCAAGAGAGCAGTGGGGACAAGGTCTGAAACGGTGCAGCCCCCAGACACAGCTCTCCCCCAACTTAGCAAAAAAAAAGCCAGAGACAGAAGACCGACAAGAAAGCAAGTGTTCTCCAAATCACAACTCACCTGGGGGGAGGATGGATGGGTCCAAGTTGAGAACTGATGGCTGCAGAGAGAAAATTCAAAGCAAAGATTGGCCTGGCTCCTCTCTGGGGCCCTGAACACCGCTGGCCCCCAGGTAGTCCCGTCTGCACAAGGAGTGGCTGGCACTTAGTACGGTGCTTCTGGGCCTCCCCGAGTGCTTGAGTGTGACAAACCCACCGCCCATCTGACTGGCTCTGCCTCCATCTCCAGGGGGCTCTGGGATCCTTAAAGTTCATGGACTCCAGATGCTAAGCACCTAGAGCCTCCATTAAGAACAGGTGCCATCTGCTCAGAGCTTCTAGCTCCCAAATTCTAAAAACCTCTTAAGACCCTGAAGCTGCCCTCTGCCTGCATCATCCAATGGACTTACAGTCTCCCTGGGAAGCCAGTTTCTTGCTCTCCGGTTGGTCTGTGAAAGAGAGAGGATGTCAGATGCTGCACCCACCCACCCACAGCTGCCTCTAATCTAATGCTGGTGCCACGCGGCCTGGCAAACAGCCCCCCTCCGCCACCCCCAATATCAGAGCCAAGACAGGAGAGTAGCAGGGACCAACTTCGGAGAGGGGGGCCAGACGTCCCTCAGTCCCACCACCAGCACTGAACAGTAAAAAAGTCCTTTATAACAGAAGGGATGATGGCGGCATTCGAGCCCGGGGTCAGGGTCAGGGAGGGCCCAGGTGTAAGGCCCGTTTTGGTTGATCCCCACACGGATTATACTGGCCACCGTGGGCAGCGCTACACGCCCTGGGCCAGCCAAACTGCACTTACACGGGGCCTCGACCCAACTGTGAGCATTTCCCAGGCCTACCAGAAGGGGAGGACCGATCTTGAGAACTTACAACTTGGACCTAGTCACAATCAATCTGCTCCTCTCAGCCACCTGATACCCCAGGATGGCAGCCCAAACAAAGAGAACGAACAAAGCTGGGACTGCTGGGGTTTGAAAAAACCAAACGGCAGTGAGCTTCCCCGACGCTGGACCGTATTCAAACAAAGACCTTCACTCTACCCCCAGGCCTTCTTCCCAGCAGTTACCTCCATCTTCTAACTGCCTCTTTTGGCCCCCAAAACCAAAATCAGGAGTGCTGTTGTTCACTGTGGTAGCAGCGTCGCCTCCAATTTTGGCTGCGATCTAGAATCAAAATCGGAAGCACAGAAGGTTACCACCACAACCAATCCTCCCTGGTGTTCAGATCAACTTCTCAGAACCTACTCGAGGGCCTCGGCGTTCAAGAGTCACCCAGGAATTTCAAATCCCGTTCTAGATGGGATCTGCGCTTACGTTTGTTTGCAAATGGACCCCAATCCACACTGATCTGCTCTCAGGAGGGTCCTTGGGCTGCCTCCACGAGGGAGGCAGAAACAGTGACTGCAGCCCGGCTCTTCTGGGATGGTGAAGAGCACAACTTTCCTTTCTCGAAAGCTTGACATTTGTTGGACAAGTTTTGGGAAATGTTTTGCTTAAAGGCATCCAAAATCTTCACTCCACCAAAACAAAAGACCCTTTCTGAGAACACAGGTTACATGTCAGACACGTGAGCAGCAACTTCAGATAACCCCAATCCCACAAACTTAAAACCAGAGTCCGTTTGTGGGTCTATTACAAGTTTCCCAAAGACACACAAACCATGAACTAAGGATCTATCTTTCCACCTCCCGCAATTTTCCTTCTTCTAAGGCTTAGAGCCAGAGCTCCTGGGATAAGACTTACTCCCACCCGGCCAACAGCATCAACTCGCCTCGTTACAACTGCTTCTCTGTCAAGGCAGTTTGGTGGGCACCTGGATGAAGGGCAGGTGAGAACCCTACCCTGCTCCATAGGTGAGAAAGCCACAGACCCCACTGGGCGGGAACAGGGTGTTCACCTAACGGGACCTCCCACTCTACCCTGGAGGCACAGGAACAACCCCGGGAAAGCACTCAATAGCAAAGGCACTCAGCCGGCCCCCAGCCCAGCGGCTTCCTGAGAGGACAGCAAACTTCTCCCGTTCTACGGGCCCCCTGCTCCCCAGGACGTGGGGAGGCTGCAAAAGGAGCCGAGGAGGTCAGTCACACCGGCATGTGACACCTCCATGTTATCATCATGCCTCAAAACACATTGGTGGGATCCTCCCCGCTTTCCCAAAGAGAGACCAGGCTTTCAAGCCACGGGACCCATCAAAAAGAGCCAGCCCCTGTGCCCACCCTCCTCATTTCCCCTAAGTGCTCGGCCACTCTGGCAGCAAGGGTCCCCCTTTCCAGGCTCAAGAGGAAGGGCTGTTTTCCTCCCACAGTTCCTTCTCCCCGAGAACCGGGCAAAAAATGAGACTAGGTCGGGGGCAAAGAGCTCTCTGCCCTGATGGTGAGGGCAAAGCAAGACCCTACCCCCCTCCGGGGAAGAGGGACACTTTGCTTCCTAGAGAGCGGAACATGCCCTCGGGTGTCCAAAGTGGGGGGGTTCCCCAAAGTCAGTCCCAGCCCTCCGGGGCCACTAAACATCCAGGGGCCGTTCATGGCGACCCCCCGGACACCCCTTTCCCCTGCAGGGGGGGTCACCCGCGGGGGGCCCACTGGAGACATCCTGGGCGGCCCAGGCCCCCGCCTACAGCCCCACGTGACCCCACGGCGGCCTCGGCCCCCCCCCCCCCCACCCCCCCCGCGCGCGCGCGGGGCCCCCCCCCCCCCCCCCCCCCCGCGCGCCCCTCAGGCCCGCGGCCTCCTCACCTGGCGGGCCCGCTGCACGGCGTCGGCGAAAGCGTCCTTGCGGATCCCTGGGCCTCCCCCGCCGGGCGGCTGGGAGGGACCCCCGGCCGACCCCCCGCCCGGGCCGCCGCCGCCGGGGCCGCCGCCGCCCCGGTCCCCCGCGCCCGGCGGGCCCGGCGGAGGGCCTCCCCCGGCGCCCCCGGCTCCCCCGGCTCCCCCGCCGCCGCCAGCGGGCGGCGGCGGCCCGGGCGGGGGTCCTCCCGTGCTGTAGTCCGACATGGCGCGGCGGGGCCGGGCCTGGCGCGGAGGCTGAAGCTGAGGAGGAGGCGGCGGCGGCGGCGGCTCAACGCGGGAACAAGGCCTCGCTCCACACGGCCGCGGAGCACTCTGGGAACCCAGCGGCTGGGAAGACGACGAGGGGGGAGAGGGACGCCCCCTCCCGCCGCCGGCGTGACGGACGGCGCCGCCAGGCCAATGGGAGGCGGCCGCCGCTCCTGGGACACCAATCGCGGGCTCTGGAGGCGAGCGGCCAATCGCAGTGCGGCGAGAGGCAGTGGGCGGGAGGCGCCGCGTGACTGACAGATCTCGGAGGCAGTGGGATGCGGGCTGCCGGTGCTGGGCGGGCAAATCAAGGCGACCCGAGAAGGCAGGAAGCCCAATGAATCGGGAGTTCCAGAACTACGGGGCGACTTCAGAACCGGATTGACGACTCCGGAGAGTCAAGTGGATAGGAAGGAGGGGCCTGGCGAAAGGCCCCTTTGACCAGACTAGGCGGGCGCCAGGTGAGATAATCGTGCACGCAAGCCAATGAGTACACGCAGAAGGCGGTTCTTGCGAAGATTGGCAGTCAATTTAATCCAACCCCTGACGAATTCTGGGTGACGCGCTTAGGTTTGGACTGGATGGCTTTCCCTGTTAACCAGAATCCTTTGCTAGCCTTGATTGCTAAGCCAATGGCTGGGCGGTGGGGGCGGGTGCAAGGTGACGGACACCGCTCTGGACGAATGGCGGGGAAGGAAATGAAGGTGCCCAGTTTTGGTGGGAGCCAGTGGAAGAGGAACTGCATTGGGGCGGAGCCGGCCGCCAAACGCGAGCGGGGATTAGCCGCAGCGAGAGTGAATGGCAGTCGACGTGGGCAGTGCCGACCGGCTGCGGGGAATTCGGCCTGACGTCTGGGTTAGCGCCCCAGGAGCCTGGTTGGGTAGGCCGAACACATGGCCTGCTCGAGGCCTTGGAGATCGGGTGCTTCCGGGAGGGGGTGGCCCAAGGGCAGGAGGGAACCCAGAGATCCCGTGTACCGCCTGTCTTCTCCACCCAGGGTTCTAGAGCCCCCGCTTCTCTTCCAGGCCTCATGGAACCAGTTCCCCTCCAGAATTCAAGGGTCTAGGGCCGCGGGTTCTCTCCTACGACCTTAATAACACCCCACGTCCTCTCCACATAAGGTCTGGAGATAGGAGCTCCAAGCTCCGATCCTAGGTCCTCAGTTTCTCTCCTGAACCCAGGTTTACAATTCCTACTGAGGTCCAAGGGGCCCAAGATATCCAGTCCTCTTTCCGAGACCCAGGGCTCCCAGGTACCCAGCTTCCACTCCTGGGACCCAGGTATCCAAAGTGCCCAGCTCCCTCTTGGACCCAGGGTGTTCCGAGTCCCCAGCTCACCTCCTGAAACCAGGGATTTCTAGTCTAGACCCAGAGATACCAGATACCCAGCTCCCCTCCTGGACGCAGGTATCCCAGACACACCTGGCCGAAACTGTCTCTTTATTTCCGATTGTCTCCATGTCCACCGTTTCACCCTGAAGCCAGGACAAGCCACAACGAGCCAACCTGGAGTCCAGACTAGTCCCTGGCCGCACCCTTGGGAAGGATTCCCAGGGATCTTCCAGCCAGGCCCCCAGACTGCTTCTCCGGACAAACTGCCCCCTGGGCCTGAGCCTGGAGGGCTATTTGGGCCAGGAGACCCTGGATCTTCCTGTCCATTTCTGCCCAGAGTGTGTCAACTCGCCATCGCCTATACACCCAGAGTTTTCTTCATGGCTTCATACACCACATAGCTGATGCCACCTGCTGGCAACACCTTCAGTAAAGTGGGAGTCATGCCTCGGTACAGCCCTGGCCAACCCTGCTGGGCCAGGATCCGCCGAAAGACTCCGCACATGGTGGGGTTCGAGCCCTCCACAGTGTCTGTGGGAACAGGGGCAAGCTCAGGGCTTCTCGCAGAGATGATCTGGCCACCTGGGGAGGCTGGAATGTTGGGGGGTTGGGTGAAGCCAGGGGCCGGAGTCTGGGGGTCAGTTGGAAAGGAGCTTGGAAGACTTTTAGAGGAAATCGGTCAGTCTCGGGGAGAGTGAGATCAACCCAGGCAAGAGTTTTCAGGATTTGTTTTCCGGGAACACCTTAGAAAGCTTTCACACTTATTTGGGAGGGAACTTCAAAGATCTGCCAGAGATTTGGGGAGTGTGCTAAGGGGTGGTTTGGGGATATATTCAAGATTCGGGTAGTGGGCCAAGGACTTGTTTGGGTGTTTGTGGATTGGTTTAGGGGCTGAGAGTCCATTTGGGGAGTACCCAACTTAGTGGGGGAAATGGTTATGACACTGGGAGGCCTAAACGTTGGTTTTAGCAAATTTAGGAATTTTAGGAATACAGGGTGGGTCTGTTTTGGAGAAGTTGGGAGAGCATTTGGGGAATCTGTGTCTTGAAGTATGGTGTGGGGTCTGAGTCGCATTTGGGGGGCGTTTATGGGGGTCAGTTGGGAGATGTTCATTTCACTGGTTTGTAGGGTTAATTTGGGGGCTGGGGTCATATTTGGGGGTGAGTCTTGGTGAGTTTAGAGCTCAGCACAGGTGGCTAGGATCAGATGTGGAGACTTTGGGAGTCAGTTTTGGGGGATGAGAAAGTTCAGAGTCAAGGCTGAGGGGAGAGGCACGCACAGTGGCCACTGGGGCTCTTCTGACCTTGGGCCTGCATCCGGGTGCGCACCAGCGTCAGCGGGTAACTGGCCATTTGGCCACAGGTCGTGGACAGTGTCACCGATGACAAACTGACCAGGCCACTGGGATCCTCCATGTCCCTGCCTGACTTCAACCAGAAACACCTGAGCATCTGCAAGATAAGGGGGTTAGCAGGACACTCACCGCCGGCCTACGTCCACACCAGCCCCAGCATCCCTCTGTGGGACCCGCACCTCATAGACGGCCAGGTCCGTGCAGGCGTAGGGGATGATGCCGAGCATGTTGGGCAGGTAGCCGCGGTACAGGGCACGGGTGCCCTCCTGCTTCAGGATCTGCCTTGCACAGTCCAGCAGCCCCTTGTACTGGCCCGTCCGGCGCAAGGTCAGCCGCGTCTTCAGCACCTGGGAAGGGTGAAGAGGGAGGGGGTTCATCCGATGGAAAGCTCTCATCGGCCCTCAGCAGCAGCCGGCGTTTCTGTTCTCTAGCTGAGGAAGCAGAAGCTGAGGAGTCCAGAGAGCAGAGGTTCGAACCCAGAGCCACGTGATCCCTTGGCCTGTGCGTGCCCTCCACCCAGGATTCAGAAGCCCCGGTGCTGACAGAGGCAAGAGGATAAGGGAAGTGGCGTGGACTGAGCGGAGTCACAGCCTATACCCGGCAGACACCAGATGTAAAGCCACAGGGGGTGCAGACCCTAGGTGGCCAGGTTTGCCAATTTTCCAAGAGAAGGCAGACATAATTTGTATGAAATACTCCCAACATCAAAATATTGGCAGCTCTACAGTTGCCTGTAAGACCAAACACCAAGTTCGATAGGCAGAATTCTGAGGTGGCCCCCAAGTTTCCCACCCGATATGTATGCTTCATATAATGCCCGCCCCCTGACCTTGAGAGTGTGCTAGGCCTGTGACTATGATGGGGTGTCACTCCCCTCGTCAAGTTACATGACGAAGGTGAAGGGATTGTGCAGATGTATTGGAGGTCCTGAAGCGCTTGATTTTAAGTGAAGCAAGACCGATTTCCTAGGTGGGCCTGACCAAATCAGGTGATCCTTTTAAATGAGTCTGTTGCCAGAGACCGAAGAAATCAGAGTTATGGGGAGCATCCAGGACGCCCTTCAGTTGGTCTTAAATGAGCAGACTGTTGTGGAGAGGACCACCTGGCAGGGACAGTACATGGCCTCTAGGAGCTGAGAACCCCAGTCCTACAACCATAAGAAACTGAATCCTGCCAGCAACCAAGGAACTTGGCAGAGGACCCAGGCCTCAGGTTCACTGTATCCCAGCCAACACCTTGATTTTGGCCTGATGAAACCCTGAGCAGAGGACCTGACTAGCCAGTGCCCAGGCATGACCCACAGACAAAGGAGATAATAAATCTGTATCATTTTAAGCTACTGAGTCTGGCAATTTGTTACACAGCAATAGAACAAGTACACTATAAGACGAAATTTAACTGGTCAAGGGCAAGAATTATATGGAAAAAAAAAAACAACTTTAAAAAGACCATTAAAGTCCATAAAAGGAGACTGGAACCCATGGAAATGATCTTGGACACCAGACCCAGCCTCATATAGATGGCAGGCACCTCTAAGCTTCTTTATAAATCGAATACCATCCCAGAAAAAAAAAAACAATAGGTGACTTTTTCTGAACTAGACAAGTTACTTCTAAAGTTTATATGGGAAACCACAGGGGGGAGTAACCCGGAAAACCGATAAAGAGCAGGGATGGGGGATGAGAAAGCGTAAGATCAAGCCTGAAAAATTAAAGATGATAAAACTATAGGGGCACCCAGCTGGCTCAGTCAGAAGAGTTTGTGACTCTTGCTCGCAGGGTCATGAGTTCCAGCCCTGCGTTGGATGAAACAACCTGGGGTTGTCAGGGACTCAGGAGAAGCAAGAAGAGGTGAGTAGGGGGGCACCTGGTGGCTCAGTGGGTTAAAGCCTCTGTCTTTGGCTCAGGTCATGATCCCAGGGCCCTGGGATCGAGCCGCATCGGCCTCTCTGCTTGGCAGGGAGCCTGCTTCCCCCTCTCTCTCTGCCTGCCTCTCTGCCTACTTGTGATCTCTCTCTCTGTGTCAAATAAATAAATAAAATCTTAAAAAAAAAACCAAAAAAGGGTGAGTAGGCAGAACTCAGGATTTTTAGGGCAGTGAAACTACTCTGAATGACACCCTAATGGTGAGTACGTGTCCGTATATATACATCTGTACAAATCCAAGAATGGCAACTACGGGCTTTAATAATGTATCCATATTGGCTCATCAGTTGCAACAAACGCCCCCTCCCCCACACAAGACGTTAATAGCAGAAACTGTATACGTGGGGAGAGGTGTATAAGAACTCCCGTACTTCCTGCTCAGCTTTTCTGTAAATCTAAAGCTGCTGTACAAAAACTTCCTGCTTGGTTTTTCTGTAAATCTAAAACTGCTGTACAAAAAATCTAATTGTTATCCCCTGCAAGAAAAAGCGGGGGGCGGGGGGAAGACACTAGCGCTTGGACAGACATAGCAGAGTAAGAAGAGAAAGGCCAAAAATACTCTCAAATATGCACAGGAATTTAGTAAATTATACCGGTTGCATCTTGGCTCATTGAGGAAAAGAACAGGACCCATCCAATACATAGGTGTTGAGATAACCTGGGAGCCATCTGGAATACAAGTGGGACACACACCTCACGTGAAGGAGGAGAGGAGGGGAAGGAGGGAAAGGGAAGGAGGAGGAAGTGGTAGCAGCTGGTAGCTAATTTTCACCTTGTTTCATCTTCCATGGGGCAGGTGTTCTCTTACCTCCATGGGGTTGATGAGTGTCTGGGAGGTCGCCACAGCTAGGGAGCCAGCAAGGAGACGTTCCTGAAAGGGTGGGGACCCGTGCACTCCGCAGAAGTAATTCTTACACTAGAGCGGGAGAGAGGACCAGAGAGAACTGCTAACCTTCCGAGCTGAAACCCACCCTGGGTCTGGGGCCAGAGCGTGAAAGCGTGTCTTGGGTAAGGATCTGGGCTTGCAAGGAGGTCTAGGAGAGGTTTGGGTTGAAGGGCGGGGGCTGGGCAAAATGGGCCGCCCCCCCGCCCACCTGTTCAAAGACGGAGAACTTGATGGCGTACTCAGGGGCAATCTTGAGGATGTTGACGCCATTGCCCCGCCACAGGGAGCGGAAGCCCCCTTCCTGGACCATGCTTCGGAGCCCCCCCAGCAGGTTCATGAAGTTAGTCTTGGAGGAGTAGACCTAGGGATAGGGAGGCCACTGGCCCTGTGAGGAGCCTCCCACCCGGATCGCCTCCATCCCAGCCTGGAGCTCTACCCCGTCCTGTCCCTAGCCACCCAACCCCATTCCTCCTCCTGCTCCCTCCCCAGCTGGCCTCACAGCACTGTAACCCACGCAGACCCACGTGCCCATCTCTGTCCTCATCTTCCTCTCCTTACCTGTTCTAGTTTGCCTTCAAAGCCATCCAAAGACCCTATCCCCGATTCCCTTATCCCCAGCCCCACCCTGTCCCTCCTGCCTTTCTCTCGGCTCCTCCTTCAACCCCGTTGACTCCAGCGTTATCCTCAACTCCGGCCCCCACCCTTGTCTCCATTCAGCCTCCTCCTGACTCCAACCCACATCCCAGCCCCACCCTCCCCCCATCCTGAACCCCATCAGCTCTGCCTCCGTCCAGCCCCACCCCAAAGGCTCCAGTGCTGGGTTCCCCACGCACCTGCATATACACCTTGGCTCGGTCCAGAGGGGCCGTGCCCGTGCGGGATACCGCCCCAGCCATGGCCCCTGAGAGCAGAAACTTCCACAGGGCGCCCTCGTTATCTACTTCGAGGACATCCATGGGAACCATCAGCTGCTCTCCTGTGTCCAGCACCTGCAAGGCAGACCCAGCTCCCACCCGTACTCAGCCAGGCTGGAGCTCCTTCCCTGAACTTCCAGAAGCCCCTCCTGGTGAAGGCCCACCCTGGCCCCCACTGCTTCAAGGTGGAAAGCCAGGTCTGCTTGGAGGGGAGTGGGTCATGCAGAGGGGGCTGGAGGTGCCGGCTGACCTGCCGTTCTCAGACTCACCTGCTGTGATGGGAGATGCTCCAGGTCATTTTCACGCACGTGCCCAAACACATACCCGTACACATGTGTACAGCCTGGATTCCGGGAGGGGGGTGGGGGCAGGGTCGGAGGTGGGGCTTTGGTGAGCAAGGCCTTGACCCTCTTAAACAGGGTCTGGACACTCAAGCAAGGCTTCTGAGCTTCCTCAGGCTGATCTCCCATGGGAGCCGGAGGGTCAGGAAACCCGGTTCAAATCCCTGGTGACAGATTTGCCAATCCAGCAACCATGTGGGAGGGCCAGCTTGTAAATTTGGGTACCGGGGCACAATGACATCACAGAGGCCCTTGTGACCTCACTGGATGTGGTGGGCAGAACAAGAGTGTCCCCTACAAAATGTCCATATCCAGATCCCTCTAAAACCGTGGACTGGCCATGTTACGTGGCAAAGGGGAAAGTAAATTTGCCCAAGGATTTAAGGTCACTAACCAGCTGATGGGAGATGGGGAGAGTATTGTGGACTCATTGCGTGGGCCTAGTCTAATCTCATGAGTCCTTAAACGGTGAAGAGGGAAGCAGAACTGTCAGCATCATAAGGATTCAACGTGAGAAAGACTCGACCAACCATTGCTGGCTTTGCAGATGGAGGAGGGAACCATGAGCCGTGGAATGCAGGCAGGCAGACCCTCGAAGCTGGAAAAGGCCAGGAAGCAGGTTCTCCCCTGGAGCCTCCAGAAGGAGCTTGATTTTATCCCAGTGAGATCCGGGTCAGGCTTCTGACCTCTGAAATAGTACATCTGTGTTGTTTGAAGCCACCATGTTTGTGGTCATTTGTTACAGCAGCCATAGGAAACAAATGCACTGTGTGTGGTTGTCGTGGCAATGGGAGATAGAAGTGAGGGAGAATGGGAAGGTTCTGGAGCTCTGAGAGGGAGAGACCCAGTTGGTTTCCAAGATGAGACAAGCATAGCTTTGGAGGCAACCTGGGTTTCAATCCCATCTAGGACAACTCCTGCTGTGTGACCTTGGGGTAATCGCTCTACCTCTCTGAGCTTCAGTTTCCCCATGTGTTAACTGGAAGTGATGATAAACTGTACCACATCGTGTCAAGAGGTTGCAATGGGTCTTCATGGAGAGCGTGTCTGTCCTCTATGTGGTTTTGTTCAAAAATCTTGATGTCATCCATGATTCTTCTCTTTCTCTTATGCCCACATTCTGTTATCAAATCCTGGCTTAACTTTTAACATATACCCGGAATCTGGCTGCTGCTCACCATGTCCATGGCCTCCACCCTGGTCCAGCCCCATGATGGATTCCTTGGACCAGGGAAGCTGACTCCACTCTGGGCCCGCCCACTCTTGCCTCTGGTCTGTACTCCCCACAATAACCACCAGAGGGCACCCGTGAGCACCTCAGTCCAGTCCTGCCCTCCTCTACCCACAGCCCTCCAAGGTTCCCATCTCCCTGGGGTAGAAGCACAAGTCCTCCCTTTTGCCCACAAGACCCTGCATGACCTCCCCGGTCCCCTTCCTGCCCTTCCCTCCTCCCTTCCTCCTCCTTGCCCATTCTGCTCCAGCCACACAGGCCCCCTCCCTGTTCCTCCAACACGCCAGGCACAGTGCTGCCCCAGAACCTTTGCACTGGCTGTTCCCTCTGCTTAGAATGCTGTTTTCCTGGACATCACCATGGCTCCCTCCCTCACTGTCCTTAAATCTTCATGCAACTATCCCCCTCTCCCTGGTGCTTCCTCTGACCACTCTATTTGAGATGTAAACTCTGCTTCCCCATTTTATTTTTATTCATAGCACCTTTGCTTCCTACCCAGCTACACATTCACTCTTGTGTGTTATTCATTGTTTGTCTCTCCGCACTGGAATGTGGGGTCTTTGAGGGCAGTGATTGTTGTGTGTTGCACAAAACTGGGTCTGGCACAAAGCAGGGGTCCGGTAAATAGATGAGTAAGGAAAGGAGATAACACGGCAAAGGGCTCAGCACAGAGTCAACGTATTGAGTACTTGCTCAATAAATATGTTCTTATCACTTTAAAGATGTCAGTGATGGGGCACCTGGGTGGCTCAGTGGGTTGGGCCTCTGCCTTCGACTCAGGTCGTGATCTCAGAGTCCTGGGATCAAGCCCCACATCAGGTTCTCTGCTCTGCAGGGAGCCTGCTTCCTCCTCTCTCTCTGCCTGCCTCTCTGCCTGCTTGTGATCTCTCTGTCAAATAAATAAATAAAATCTTAAAAAAAAAAAAGATGTCAGTGATAACGTCCCCTATTTTGTGGGTGGGGAGACTCCAAAAGAGAAAAGTGGTCTGTGTGGTATTACAGCACACATCAGTTCCCAAGGCCCCAACGGTGGAACGGGATGTAAGAAGGTGGACCGGAAAATAGTTGTTGACTGGCCTCATTAAATAAAATCAAAGCGGTAACACTCCATGCTGGTATGACCACAGTCAAAATAGAATTGCTAATTCCTCGTTGGTAGCTGTGTGTATCACAGACGATTTCTCTGGTGGCGGGACTCTGAAATCATCATACCCTTTGACCCAGCAATCCCGCTTCTGGGAAAACGATCCTCAGGACATAATTTAAAGGAAGTAAAAATACAAAATAGTTAGCAAGGTTTGAGTCCATCTTCGAGGGGGTGGAAAATCATATCTCTGTGTGTGTATCAGTTAGCTGTTGCTGTGTAACAAATTACCCCAAATGTAACAGCTTAAAACACAAACAAGATGGTAAAAGGAGAAAGTTTGGTCATTTGAAGACAGGCAGAAATCAGACCGATTGGGTCTACAGGCTGAGGATTGCCGAGTGTCCGTGACTACCAGAAGCCGGAAGAGGCAGGAAAGATCCTCCCAGAGAATCTTCAGAGGGACCATAGCCCCACTGACACTTTGATTTCAGACTTCTAGCCTTGGGAACTGGCAGACAATAAATTCCTGTTGTTTTTTATTCACCATAGCCAAAGGTGGAAGCAAGCCAAGTGTCCCTCCATGGGTAAATGAATAAACAAAATATGGTCCATCCACACCCTAGAATATTATTCAGCCTTAAAAAGGGAGGACATCCTGATACCTGCCATGACGTGGAGGGACCCCCAGGGACACTGGGTCCAGCGAGAGGAGCCAGACCCAGAAGGACCCATCCTGCAGGACCCCACTCCCAGGAGGGCCTAGAGGAATCCCGTCCACACAGACAGAGAGGAGACAGTGGGAGCCAGGGCTGGGACAGGGGGTGGGGAGTCCATGCTTCGTGGAGACAGAGTCTCCGTTTGGGGAGATGGAAAGTTCTGGAGACGGAGGGTGGGGGTGGTTCCAAGACAATGTGATTGTGCTTCGTGCCACTTAGAGATGGTTAAGATGGTGTATTTTATGTGCTGTCTGGTTTACCACAATAAAAAAACATATCAATCTAAAAACTGTGTCATTTTAAGCCCCCAGTTTGTGGTAATTTGTTATAGCGGCCCTGGGAAACAAAACGGGCGCATGAAGGTGGGCTTTTCCCTGCCCCCCATTCACAGCTATGGAAACTGAGGAAGTAATTTCCTGTTCTCCTGCAGCTGTGTGCGACAGAGGCTGGCCCATGTCCCTTCCCTGGGGGGTAGTTTGAGGTGGTCCCATGTTGACCCACCCCCTTTCAGGAAAAACCACAAGGAAAGAGCTTAGAAAGTGTATTCCTTTTGTTCTTTTCCTTTGAAATAACACACACAGGCAAGGAGGTGGGACATGGTGTAGGTGGGGGTGGGGTGGGTGGAAGCCATAAGGGGGGGTCCTCCAGCCTCCCCAAACAACCCCGTTGCTCTTTTGTAGTCCTTTCCTGGGGTTCCCCAAGGACTTGGGAGGAGGGAAAGGAGGGGTCCCCCAATTATGCTACGCTCAAAACCCAACTATAAAGTGCAGAATGTACAGGGTCCTGGGGGGGGGCGGTGCGGGGGGCTTGAGTTATCTGAGGGGGAGGAATGTCTGCTCCTCTCTGGTAGAAAAATAGACCTGGAGTGAGTTTGGGGGATTTGGCTTGTTTTGCATAACTGGATGCTTGGCTCCCTGGAAGGCTAGTCTATGTAGACTTGCTCCCGGCTCCCAACCCTGAAGCCTGGGTAGAGGCTGGCAGTGCTGCGATGTGTTTGGGGGAGTCCCCATAATGTGTCCCTGGCCTCAGATTGTCCCCTTGACAGCCCCCAAGAGAGAGCAATGGGAGGTTATCATCAGCCTAAAGGTGGGAAGGGAATGGAAGACACCGCAGTGCATTGTCAGGGGTGGGGGGCAGTTTTGCAACAGGGACCGGAGGTACAGCCATGCTGGGTGGGTGGCAGGCATGTCCAGCCTCTGCCTAGGGCATGGGAGGGGGCATCTCCTTCCCTGGCTGCTGGCTTCTAGTCATGTCAGGACTTTGGACAAGTCCCATGGGTCTTCTGGAAGCAGGAGGCCAGGACCTAGGCTCCAACAGGCCCCTTAGACCCTGGGTTTTGTGGCATGGGACCCGGGGCTCTGGGGTGTGTCTGGGACAGGGGCACGGGGGATCCAGGAAGCAGTCATTGGCTTATTGGGATCTATCCAGACTTGGAGTCTGAGCATTCAGGATCCAGTGCCTGGGAGGATTCCGGTCAGAATCCAGGGGTTAAGGGGCTGGGATCCAGTGCTTGGAAGGGTGTGGGGGGGTCTACCTCCTATGGGTGAGGTTTCAGCATCCAGTGCCTGTGGTGAAGGGGTTTGGGGGTCCAACAGCCGCAGTCACCAGGACCCACTCGCTCAGCCGTTGGGCTCGCATTGTGGATTTAGGAGCCAGGATCCAGCCGGTCAGGGCTTGGGAATCCGAGATCCGGTGGTTGGGGGTTGAGGGTGTAATGGTTGAAATGTAGGGAATCCAGTAGTCAAGCAGAGGGATCCGGGACTCAGTGTCAAGGTAAAGGAATTCAGGAATCCAGTAGTTGGGGTGAGGGGATCTGGGATCCAGTGGCGGGGGCCCCAGGATCTAGGCATTGCATTGTCAGGATCCGGAGGCTGAGGCTTCTTGATATCCAGAATCCAGTGGCCGAGCTTGGAGATCCAGGGCTGGAAGCATGGGGATCTGGGATCCGCCAGTGGGTCTGGGGATCTAGGACCCAGTGCTGGATCTGGGGCCTGCAGGGGCTCGGGGCTGGCTCTTTGGGTATGGTGATGTGCGCTTCTGTAGTTGGGCTGTCAGGGTCCATTAGTCAGGTTGTGGGGGATCCCATGGTTAAGTCATGGAGGTCCGGAACCCCTTGTGTGTGTGGGCTCAGTAGCTGCAATATAGGGGTGCAGGACCCAGTGGATAAAGTGGGGGATCCTGTGATTTAGTGTGGGGAGCCCTGGGATCCACTGGCTGGGCCATCAGTCTCCAGTGCCTGGGGTGTGGGGGATGTCATGATTGAGGTGAGGTATCTGGGGTGGGTCAGGCTCTGGGTCCCTCACCTGGACGTGACCCCCAGGGCCTGCTTCATGTTCTCGTAGACCACATAGGAGATGCTCACAGCCGGGATAACCTTCATGAAGTTGGGGGCAATGCCCCGGTAGAGGCCCCACACGCCCTCCTGGGACAGGATGTGACGGAGCAGACCCAGCATGGAGAGCTGGGGGGCACCCTCGGTGGAGGCTGGGGGGGTGGGGAGGCCAGGTGAGGCCAAGCGGCCCCTCTCACTTCCCCCTCCTACTCCCCAGGGCTGGGCCTGTGGCCGTTACAGCACGAGAGAGGAGGATTAGCTCAACAGCAGGACCTACTCAGAGTCAGGAGTTCTCCTGGCTCTGGAAATGGCTGCTCACCTTTCACCCCGCTTCTGAGGGCCCAAGTTTGGGGACAATTAGAAACAGAGAAGGTGCATGTATGTGTGGTGGGAGAGGGGACAGACATTTCCTCTGCCTGGAGCTCATTTCCCAGCCTCTTCTCCCAGCTCCCCCCTCTCTACCTTCCAACCTTCATGCCAAAGCAAGCTCTTTGGGGGGGCCTCCTTGGTACCCCAGTCTAAGTCTGGCTCTTCCTCTTCTCCTTCATTCAATCCTAAATCCATACTGAATCATGGAATGATTATTCAGCACCTTGCTTCCTCTCCAGCCTGTGAGCTCTTGGAGAGCGAGAACCCAGGTTTATGCACTAGTACAGCCCCGGAGAAACTCACGGAACACAAATGCTAAAATTCCCAAGGAAACTCCAGAAACAGATTCAGGAGTGTGTGTGTGTGTTGGGGGGGGGAGAACCCTAAAAGAAACCTACAGAGGAAAACAATAAACCCATAGCCAGCCTGGTCCCGCCCCTTCTTACCCTGATCCTCCCTCCCCTTCCATCAGTGTAACCCAGCCTTGCAAACGTAGCTCCAGTTCGCAGCCCTCCCAGCTAAGCTTGCTAAGGGCTCTCTCCCAGTACTCGCTCATCTGTTCTCCTCGCTCAGAGCAGGCAAAGGGCGCCTGTTCCAGGGTCACAGATGGGTACACTGAGGCCCAGAGAGAGGTAGGGACTTTAGTGAACGCCATCCAAATCCAGGAGGAGCCCAGCCAGGGACCCTCCCTAGCCAGGAGGAGGAGCTGGGGATGGGGAGGTGGGGCCCGAGAGGTGATGCTCTTCCCTGCCCCAGCCTCCCGCCCAGGCCTCACCTTGGGCCTGCATGCGGGTCCGGACCAGGGCCAGGGGGTAGCTGGCTATCTGGCCACAGGTGCTGGAGATGGTGCCACAGGCCAGGAGCACGAGGATGCCTGGGTCGGCCGAGTCGTGGCTATACTGCTGGAGCCACCGGTTCTTCAGGGTCTGGTGGGGGCGAAGAAGGGAGTAGAGTGTGGGTTGGATTGGAATTGGGTAACACCATGCACAACCCTGGCTTTGGAGGCCCTGCTCGCTGGCCTCTGCCTCCTCCCCAATGGCCAGGACGTGCTGAGTGTCCCACGACATGATACCTGTGTCCTGTCACTCAGGCCCCACCTCGACCTTCTATGGTATATGTGATGATGCCCCCCACGCCCACTGTCCGTGCCCTTGTCCCTGGAAGCTGGAATATGGTACCTCACATAGCAAAAAGGACTTTGCCGATGCGATTAAGTTAAGGACCTTGAGATGGGGCACAATCCTAGAATATCCAGGTAGGTCCAATGTCATCATAAGCCTCCTTATAAGAGAGGAGAGGGGATAGTAGAAGCAGAGGTGGGGGACAGGTTGGAAGACACTGGGAAGTTGGCTCTGAAGATGGACGACAGGCCCACCGGCCAAGGAAAATGGGCAGCTGCTAGAGAAGGGGACAGACGAGGCAACAGTGTCTGCCCTGCAGCCTCCAGAAGAAAGGCAACCCTGTCAACATCTTCATCGTAGCCCGGTGAGCCCCATCTCGGACCTCTGGCTTTCAACACTATGTGATAGTGAACGTGTGCTCTTTTAAACCCCTAAAGTTGTGGCCATTCATTATAGCAGCCGTAGGAAGCTAACAGGCTCTCCAGCGTGGACACGCCGTCTGCATCCCATTCCACTCACATTGGCGGACCCCCAACTGCCAGCAGCCACAGTTCTGCCCGAGGAATCCTGCCGGACCCAGGTGACACTGCTCTGAGCACCCAGGAATGGGCAGGAAGTGCTGGGAAACGATCACCCCCCTGTCCTCAGCAGCAAGGATCAGACAGCTGTCTTGGTGTATCAATGCCCCCGCTCCCTATAGCCTCCCTGGTGGGGCGTGTTCTCCGCTGCCTCCAGAGCGCGTGAGCGCCCCCCACTGGGAGCAGGATTGATCTCCACCTGCCCACATGCTAACTTGCTTGATAACATGCCCTTAAGGGATCCAAGAGGGCATCCCCGCAAAAGATACGAAGGAGTCCTAACACCAAGCCCAGAGTGGTGTGTGTGGCTTTTCTGGCAGCCAGCCCCTTATGAAGACGCTCGGGGAGGATCTTCTTTCTTGCTCTGGGGCTGGGATGGCTCTGAGGTTTCATGTCCTATGTCACTTCTAACCCCTTGGTAATTGCTGCCCTGAAGTGTGTGGAGAGGGACTCAGGGCTGGGATAGATCAGTGAAGTCCAGGCTGGGCAAGGAGTGGGTGCCTGGGAAGCAAGCGTTTGCCATTACTGCCTTTGTGATTTTAATAGCCTTCTTTGGAGCAGGATTTGCCAAAGAGGTGTTGAGCGAGTGTTTAAGAGTTGTTGAAAAGAAGTTCTAATGAATGCATAGGTATGGTCATCACTGGGCCAAAAAAAAAAAAAAAAAAAAAAAGGCACGACAAACCCCCCAAAAACAAACAAACAAAAAAACCAGTGAAATCACTTTTCTGCAGACTTCTCAGAGCCTTTAAGGGACTAACATAGGTTTTGAAACTCCAAGAGGGCACAGGGTGTCTCAAACCACTTAGACCTCCCAGCTCCCTTTTTGGGTGAAGAATGGATCAAGCAAAGTTACGTCTAATTTCTGCGCTCAGCCCCCCAGTGGCTGTGTCTTGCGCCCAGGAAAAACCAGCCACATCACCAACTTCCTGCTGACTCCGGTTCCTGCGCTCCCGGCCCCCTCTGCCTGGTTCACACGCCCTCACTCACTGCCTCTCAGAGGCCTGCCTCGACGCCCTCCTGCCCACTGTTACTTTCAATTACACATCCTATTTTATCCCCTTCTGAGAACTTAGCAGGATCTGAAACTACTTGTTGGCCCGAGAACTGAATTCCTTGCTCATTGGAGTGGGTGCCCCAGGAAAGCGAGGACTGCGTTTTTATGTAACACTTCCCAGTACCTTGGGACGCTCGGTAAATCGTTGCTGAGTGAGCGAGTGAATGAACAAGTGGTGGCCTTGTCTCGTGGGGCTGCCCGGGTGCTGGCAGATGGGCAAGTCAGGGATGGATGTCAGGTGTGCAGTGTTGGAGGCGAGGCCCAGCGTGAAATAAAAATGTGCAGGGTCCCTCGTCCAAAAACGATTAGGGATTTCAAGATCGCAACAGCAGGGCATCAAACCAAGAGCCGGGCCCTCTGAGGACGGGGCCCTTGGCGACTGCACTGGCCCCTGGCCTGCGAAGCTAGCTCTCTCCTGGACACAGAGACTTTGGGGGATGCCTGGGGACATGTGGGGTTGTGCTACTTGGAAGAACCTGGTGATCCCACCAGGAGAAGAGAAAAGTCAAGACCCATGGAAGAGACATCATGCCCTCCCCACCCCCCACCCCGGTCCCAGCCCCCACTCCTGCCTCTCTTGATCACAGATGGTGGCCACGGAGTGTGGTTTCTATGAAATGGGCAGTCCCTGAAGAAGACATCGGCCGGGTCCAGTACGTGCTCTGGGGAGACAGGCATTTCTGAAGCTCACGTTCGCTTTCTCCCACGATTGTGTGAGCTATGGTAGGCCCTGACCTTGTCCGGGCCGGAGGCCCAGCAAGGCTGAACTGCCCACGGAAGTGGGAAGAATTCACGCAACCATAAATGTGAAAAGTCGGAGAGTCAGACAGCCAAAGGGGTTCCCCAGAATCCCAAGGCCCGTGGCGCTTCTCCATCCCATTCACTGAGTCAGCCTAGGGGAAAGGGGCGTCCTGTGGGCAAATCCCAGAGGGGAGAGAAAAGGAGGGAGGCGTGGGCCACCCACAGACCTCATAGACGGCCAGGTCGATGCCAGCGTAGGGGATGATGCCGAGCACGTTGGGCAGGTAGCCGCGGTACAGGGCGCGGGGCCCCTCCCGCTCCAGGATCTGCCTCGCACAGTCCAGCAGCCCCTTGTACTGGCCCGTCCGGCGCAAAGTCAGCCGCGTCTTCAGCACCTGGGGAGGACCCCGGTTATCCCTGGGCAAAGTGCTTCCAGAAACACCACACCCAGGAGTGAAGACACCTCAGAACAGCTGCTCCCAGGAGGCTCTACCCTGACAGCAACTGAATTTAACACACCACTTTCTCTAGAATCTTCTGCCATCCCCAAATCTCTATACCTAGAAATGGTTACATCTCTCAGAGTTGCATATGGTGGCCACCACTGTCTCTCAATATCTTGTTCCCTTCCCCCCCCCCTTAATGATAGAAACTGTAATTTTCAGCAAGGACACAGCCCCTCAAAATAAAGACTACGTTTCTCATTTTCCCTAGATATATGACCAGGTGACTAAGTCTTGGCCAATGAAACAGCAGGAGAACAGGTATGTGTGACTCTCAGAAAGTATCTTTAAAGGCAGGGAGGTGTTCCTTCCTTCATCTATTCTTCCTTATTGACTGGAATAGGGATGTGATGACTGGAGCACACACAGCCATTTTGGTCCATGAGGTGGGTGCTGTATTCTGAAATGCTAGAACAAGATAGAGGGCAGGAACCTTGGTCTCTAACACTTGGAAGCCACCATACCGGTCCTGAACTGCTTATCTCAGACTTCATCTATGTGATTTGAGTTTTCCATCGGAATCCCGACACACTGCACAACCTGAAACCTGAAATGATTCCCCTGGGAACAAATAGCCTGGAAATCCATATCCTTAGAAGAGGCATGTCTGTAAACAGCTGGCCCCCACAGTTGCTGCCTAAATCGTTAGGATCAGTACCGCCATCCCCAGAAGTCACATTTCAAATTGCAATGCCCACAGAGACTACACATGAGACAGCATTTCTCTAAGGAGCCACAGTCTAAGTCAGGGAGAGGCAAAGTTACAATCCCAATGCCCATCACAGCATGGAGTGACATGGTTATTGCAAGCCCCCAACCCTGCAATGTGGCCCCAGCCAGAGTCCTCCTCTTCTCACCTCCAAGGGGTAAATGATGGTTTGGGCCGTGGCGCCAGCCAGGGAGCCAGCCACAAAGCGCTCCTGCACGTGCAGTGTCTCCTGCTGCCCCCGAATGGCCCGCTTGATCTGAAAGTGGGTGACACAGAGGTGGGCAGGACCTCAGGTCCCCCTGCTGGGGACACCTCCCAGGGGAGCAGATGCCCACTCCTGGGGTCCTGCAGACAACCCCCATGCACCCCCAAGCCAATCCTACCAGCCCTCATGGTCAGCTCACATCTCCCACACCTGCCCCCACCTGCTCATAGGCCATAAACTTGATCGCTGACTCAGGTGCAATCTTGAGCACATTAATCCCATTGCCACGCCACAGGGAACGCATGCCCCCCTCTTGGATCATGCTTTTGAGGCCTCCCAGGATGTTTAACTTGTTGGTCTTGGAGGCGTGGACCTGCATGGGGAAGATAAGGTAGCTTTGGGGGTCCCCTTCTGGGACCGAGGCCTGGGAGAGGGAGTGGATCTTTCCAGGGCCCCTCACCTGCATGAAGACCTTGAGGCGATCCAGAGGGGCCGTGCCTGTCCGCGACACAGCCCCTGCCACCGCACCCGCCACCAGCTGCTTCCACCACATGCCAGTCAGCTTCTCCTGCTCTGAAAACTCATCAGGGACAGTCAGGCACTCACCAATGTCCAAGACCTGAGGATGCAGGGACTAGGGTGTCACATCATCATAGGGGCAGGGAGATGGGCTTCAGCCCTAAACGAGAGTGTCTCCCCCATGAATCCCAGGACACCCAGAGCATCCACCCATCAGTCTCACTTGGAGAGCCCAGGAGATCCCTCTTGGGACCCCACCAGGTCCCAGCAAAACATCCAACCTGACTCCCACGTAGGATCCCAGTATCCCTCCTGGGCACCTCTGCCAAATCCCAAAGAAGCCTACTCAACCATCTACCATATAAAGATCCCTTCCAGAGCCGATCAGTACTCTGAAGGATTGTACCCAAGGATCTCCTGCAGAAGGATTCCAGAAGATCCCTCCAGGGTCACACAAGATCCTACCAGGGACCTGCCACATAAGGAGGCCAGTGGATCCCTCCCAGGACCCCCGCAGATCCCACAGGGAAGCTGCCCCCAGGGATCATCCCTCCCCTAGGATCTACCTATAGACCTCCCAATCAAGTCCCTCACAGATCCCCAGGGTGGGAATGTCTGGATGTCCCAGGAGGATCTCGGCAGATCCCATAGATGGATTCCCTTCCGGATGCCATCAGATCCCACTGGAAGCATTATTCAGAAATTCCCACCCAGAAGCGGGGGATTTAGAGCACCTTCTCCCCTAACTTCCAGTGGATCTCCTTGGATCTTCCAAAGAAGGTGGATTTCTAATGAGTCCCTTCAGCAGCAGACCATTTACCAAGACAAAAAGAAGCCTGCAGAAGGGGAGCTATGGGTGGAGGCTGGAGGCTGGGTGCCCCATCTGGTGAGCTCCTCCTTCCCTGTGCTCCTACCTCCCAAGTCTGCCCCTGGCACCCCGAAGTCGGGTCTGAAGGGCTCCAGCCAGATCATAGACCTCCCCCAGTGGGTCCTCAGTGCCCTGAGCCCCACTCAGAGGAAGAGAGGACTAGAGTCTCCTCCCTTGGCTGTTCCCAGTGGCTCTTCCTTCTCAAGACTCCTGACCCAGCCCCCTCCATGCCCGGAAAAACCAGAGCAGGGCCCAGCCACCACGCTAGGAAAGCAGCCCCCACCTCACCGTAGAATGCTTCCAGAAATAGACCACATCCTCCACATTCTCCAGCGAATGCAACAGGAAGTGGTCGCGCCATTCCTGCCAGTCGATGGTCATCGTGCCGTCACGGTCCATGCTGGGGGTGTAGGGCAAGGTGGGGACAGAATCAGTTCTGGGGCTGGGCAGCGGGTGCTGGAATGAGGTTCAGTTGGTCTGGGGGAGACTGATGTCCTGTGTGCTGAGAGCGCACCATTTTACATAGGGGAAAACTGAGGCTCGCTCCGAGAAGTGAATCATCCGGCCCAGGATTTGCCTGACTCCCAAGCCCACCTCTTAGCTCCACCTGCCCTGGGATTGGGTCTGGGGCCTAGAGACTCAAGGTGGCCAAGGGGTCCCGGGGACCTGAGTTACCTGGGATTAGGGACCCCCACCTATTCACCTGTGCAGAATTTTCTCGGCTTGCTCCAGCGAGATGGAAATGCCTAGGGCCTGGAAACTCTGCTGGATCTCAGATACATCAATATGACCTGGGGAGGGGGCCAGAAAAGGGTGTGTGTGGGGGGACCCCGGAGCCCAGGTGCAGTACAGCTCAGAATGGGGATGGGCTAGGAAGACCAGGGGATCCAGGAACCCAGGATGAGATTTGCAGCTGGGTTGGTGGTGGGTGTGGGGGTATGTCACTGACCCAGTGGTATCAGAGAGGTGGGACTGGGCAATGTTGCGGGGGTGGGTTCCTCTGTTCCGTGAATGAATGAAAAAATGAATCCAGGGATAATTATGGGGATCTTGATGCCATAGGGAATTGAGAGGCAATATTAGGGACCCAGAAGAGGCTATGGGGGAGTGTCTATGCCTCATAGGGAATCCAGAAACAATATGGGGCATCTCTGTCCCTTAGAAACTTCAGGGTAATAATAGGGGTCGCATCCCAGAAGGGAGAAGTAGGTGGGATGGGCCCACGGGCCCAGCCACCTAGCTGGGGGGTGAGGAGAGCTCCCAAAATAGCCTGTGAGTCATCAGGGAGAAGTGGCCCTCCCCACTCCTCCTAGCGCTGCCAGTTCTAACCCCATTGGTGTCTCCAGGGCCCCCGCAGCCTCTCCCTGGGCCTTACCATCCTGATTCCGGTCCAGACTGTGGAAGAGAAGCAGCAGACGCTGTTCCCGATCCTGTAGGTAGCGGGAAAACTCCTCCAGGTCCAGCCCACCACCTGGGTCAGTGTCACCCTCGGGGGAGATGCCCTGGCAGGGGGGAAGGGACAAGGAGCTCCAGGAGGCCAATACCCATCTGCAGGGGGCATGACAAGCTTAGGGTCCAGGAACTCAGAGCTGCCAGCACCTAAAGGACAGGAGCTGGGGAAGTCACCCCTCCATCTGCCAGCTCACTTCTCAGCAAAATGCCCAAGGCCACGGTAGGTCTGCGAGATGGAAAGCAGTTGTCCAGTTTTCCTGGCAAGCAAACTGAGACTCTCCAAGGTCGAGTAACTTTTTCAAGGTTACAGAACTGGGAGGTGGTAGGTAGCCTTGGGCTCTTGTCTCTGAAAGCCTGTCCTCCTAGCTGCCTCTTAAAACAAAACAAAACAAAACAAAACAAAACAAAATCCTGTCCATACGGCAGTTTCAGGAGCTCCTGTTACGGACAGCTCTGGGCAACATGGGGGCAATGAGAGTTCCAAGCTAAGCACCCACCCTGCCTCTGGTTTCCCACCTGGAAAGTGGGAGGTTGTCCTGGAGGTCTCAGGGTGCCGCAGAGACACTCCAGTGGCATCTGGGGCTGGAGGTGTAAAGGAGACCTGCACAGGCCTAGGGGAGGGCTCCCCCTTTGCTACATCCCCTGCTGAGGGTGGCCTCGGTGGGGATTGGGCTCTGGGCTGGGGTAGCCTGGGGCATTAAGCCAAGCCGGGGAAAGGGCCGCCAGGGAAAGGTAAACACAGAGAGGCTGGGGCAGCTGGCTGGGAGGGCAGTGGGTGCCCAGAGGAGCGGAGGGAGAATGGGAAAGGGTGTGTCTCCTGAGGCAGGGAGCAGGGTATGTCTTGGATGGGCAAAGAGTTCAGAGGAGGGTGTGTCCCGGGCAGTGGGCAGGAGAGCGGACCCGCTCCTTTTGCGGGCAAGACATCCCCCACCCTCGAGGCACCGGCGAAGGGGGTGGGGACCGGGTGTTGGCAGCTGAACTGCAGGCCTGGGGCCTCCGTGGCTCTGTCTTGGGCGAGCCCGTTAGGCCCAGACACGCAGGGCAGGGGGAAGGAGAGAGAGATGCCCAGGCTGGGCACCCGCGCTGGAGCGCAGCCACAGGCAGTCGCTGGCCGCTGCAGCGCTCCATTCAGGGGCTCGGGTCACCGGCGCCGGCGGGGCCGGAGCGCCGCGTGCTAGGCTGGGGTACCGGCGGGGGTACCTGTTGGGTGTCGCGGTCCGGGTCGCCCCCGCCCAGCCGGGCCAGTCCCCGGCGCAACTCGCGCACGTCCACGCGGCCATCCTTGTTACTATCCAGCTCCTCGAAGAGGCGACCCCAGCGCTGCCGCCGCTCCGCATCGCTCGGGCCCCCCCGCATGGCGCCCTCCCGGGGGGGGGGGAGGCCCTGCGGTTGCGGCCTCGGCGGGGGCTTCGCGGCTCCCCCTCCCCCCCGGGGCCCCGCAGGGCCGGCTCCGCGGCCACTGCCACCGCAGCCTCCGCGCCGCCCGCCGGGCTCTGGCACTTGCAGGAGGCGGCGACTGCTAGCGGTTGCCGCCCGAGCCAGAACTTGCGTCTCCTCCCCCGATCCGCTCGGGGGGAGGGGGCCGGAGGCGGAGCTGCGGGTGTGGGGCGGAATGCCGGGTGATGCTCTGGTAGTGCACGGGAAGCACCAGGGTTCAATCTGGGGAGAGGGGCTAGAGAGATCAGTGGTCTCAATTCGGCTCTCAGAGTTCCGCCTTGCGTGCCTCAGTTTACCCTCTGTCCAAGGGAGCGCAGTCGAGAGATACCAGATTCGGTTTCGTAATCCGTTTCCATTTGACCTCCCTCCCCTACTATTCCTCTTTAGGCACTAAGGTTCTCTTTTTCCCCAGACATACTCAAGAACCAACCCTACGCCACCCAGCCCTCCATCCGCCCGCGCGCTCTTTTCACATTCCCCACTCGGCCACAGAAACAGAAAATCAAGAAGCGCTGCTTGCGCCCTGAAACATCCCGCCCGCGAGCCTTCCTTTTCGGTCGCACTCAGACGGGGAAACGCAAGATCAACATGCGGCGCGGCTGCAAAGTCGGTTTTCTATTGGCCAGAGCTGCCCGAGCTGCGCCCGCCCGCCCCACGTGGGCGGGGCTTCCGCGCCAGTACCCTGCTGCCTCGGGCCCCCGCAGCTTCAGGCGCGCTGGGCAGCTTTAAAGAGGCCGCTGCCGGATTCGGTCGCCGTGCCGACGGCTCTCTCCAGACCAACCTGGAGATCTCAGTGTCCCAGGCATCTCAGTGTCCCAGGCACGAGTGCGGATGAGGACTGGGAAGCCGAGCGCTGGAGGCGGGCCACCAGCCTGCGGCGCTCGCTGCACCTGCCAAAAGTCCCTCCCACTGCTTTCGGGCGCAGTTTCTCGAGTCACCATTAGGAGGAGGGGCGGCCAGACCACTTGGAGAAAAATAATAATAACTAACATTGATTCACGGCATTACACAGTCCAGGCCTTTTACTCACGCCTCGAGTCATCCTCGCCAAAACCTTATAAGGTGGGTGGGACTGGCTTTCCCACTTCACGGAAGAGGAAACAGAAGGTTAAACTGCTCTACCCAGGCCACATGCCCAGTGAGCGGCAAAGCGGGGATTTAAACAGACCTGGAATTAACCAGACCCATCGCGCTATACTCTAAAAGTGATTCATTTCCCTTTAACCATTGTTCTTCACCCTAGAGTTCCCAAGGGGAGTGGAGGTCTTACTATTACCGTCCTTTATTGAAAAGCACAGCCATGAGGGCAAGCTTACTTTTGCCCAGACAGGTGTGCTCAGACACACCTGTGAGTCCCAGACCAATGGCCTCTTAGAGAGGGCCTGATGTCCAAAGGTCCGAGTGTCCTCTTGGAGGTCCCCTCACAGATGTTTTCTTCATAGATGGTCCTTGCAGCCACCCCCAACATGGGGAATACAGATGTTTCCCCAGAGAAATGTCCCAAATAGGTGTTTTCTCACAGACACGTCCTTGAGAGGTGGGCCTCCACACACATGAGCCTCTGTCCTGCTGCTCCCCCAACCCCGTGAAGCTCCCATGGGCTGCAAAATGAATGTGCCTCATGCAGACGTTCTCAGCTTTTTTTTTTTTTAATTTGATCTAAATTCCCTGCAGAGGTTCTTCATACGAGGCTATATCCTTCATCTCACAGGTACGTTTCTCATAAGAAATCCACCCAGGAATGCATTATACAGCTCACCTCCACCTGCCCCCCCACACCACCACATAGGTATGTTGCAGTTAATTGTACACCCGTATGGGTATGTTTCCATATACCTGGGTCCTATAAGATGTTCTTAAATGTTGGTGTGTCTCCTATGGGTCTTTCCAATACATTTCCACACGGGACTTCCTCATACAAGTGTTGTCCATTTCATGTGCAAGCCACGTAGATGCGTTTGCAAAGCAAAGGTATCCTACACCAGAGTGCCCCATCAGGTGTTTCTTATAATGCAGGTGTGTTCTATACAGCTGTTTTCCGCTCAGGTGTGCTTGCACTCAACTATATGCCAAATAGAGGCGATTCAAAGCAGATGTCTCCCATAGGTGTTCTTCCATATCCACGCACATGTCCTCTATGCAGGTTGGCTCCCGGGCAGGTATGTACCGCACAGGTGTGTTTTTGTTAGGGGCCACCCATTCGGGTCCGCCGCAGGCATGCCCCATGCCCCCGTGTCTCCACGCCGGGTTTATCTCCACCCTTGTGCGATCCTACAGATGCGACTGCAATGTCGGTGGGAGGTCTCTCTTACCCCTGCGCGCTTTCGTCCCTTTTTACTCTTCGGTGTTATGGAATAGGGTTCCCGTTACAGGTGCGTTCCTGGCGCGGTCCCACCCCCGTTTGGCTCCGCCCTCTCGCTTAGGCTCAGGTGCACAAGCCGGAAGTGCGCTCCCTTCCCAGGTGAGTGACTAAACTTTCCGGGTCACGTGAACGGGCGGAGCTGGAGGAGTGCGAGTTACCGACCGACGCACCGAGGGTTCGAGCCAGGGACCCGGACAGGGAACCTGAGCAAGGTCGAGGACGCCTGGGCCCGGTGGGGAGGTAGGACGCACGGCTCGGCCTGCCACCCCTTCCCCCCTTCCTCTTTCCTTTCCCCAGCCCGGGAACGCGCCGCCCGGAGTTAATCTTTAATCTCTGACCTCTGGCGGCGGGGGCGGGGCGGGACTCTGGGGTGCCCTGGGCGGGTCATCCCTCCCCTGGGCCTGCGCCCGGGTCTAGCCCCCTCCCCCATACCTTTCTCTTTCTCCCGCCCCAGGTGCCGGGTCGCAGGTACCCCCGGCCTGACATGCGATAGAAGCAGCGCGCGCGAGAAGCCCGGTCCCCGGTGCCACCAGCCTGTCGCCCGGCCCATGGCGAGCCCCGGCCTGGGGCTCCTTCTGGTGCTCGGCCTGCCGCTGCTGCCGGCCCGGTGGGGCCGGGCCCGGGGGCAAAGTAGGTACCGGTGGAGGGCGCGCGGGGCTGGGCTTGGAAGCGCGGGTTACCTGGGGCTTGGAGAGGTCAAGAACGGGGGAGCGGTCATGGGATACCTTGAGAGGAGTCTACAGGGTCGATCAGGGTAGGGGCTTCTTTGGACGATTGGAGTTGGTGTAGAAATTCCCGAGTTCCTGAGGAAGGCAGTACTAGGGCCTGGGGAGAGGAGCCTGTGTACCTCAGTCTCAGTGTGGTTGAAGTGTTTTGGGCGGACTGGGAGCCAGGAGGAGGCCTGCCTGGGCCTCTGATCCCAGGTTGACCAGACTGGCCATAGGTGTGGACCCAGCCTTTCAGTGCTTGTATTTCAGTTTCGGGAACCCGGGGGGGGAGGTGTGAGTCAGACACTCCAGGGAAACGCAGGATCCACCCAGATCCTTAAGGGCCAAGGGAGGGCTGGAGAGGTGGTGGGGGGAGGGCAGGGTCTGGCTTCCAGACATCATCTGTTATAGCAGACCCCAACTCAGCGCAAACAGCAGACTCCTGTGGGCTGATTGCTCACTGCTGGGCTTTGCTGGTTTGGGGGTGGCTAGAGGGGCAGGAAGGACTGGGCCAGCCCCTGCAGGCAGGGCTCCCACAGTCTCTATCAGGACAGAAGACTCAGAAAGGCAGAGTTCTAACCGAGGGATGCCCAAGGAAGGTCCCAAGATGGGAAGGATAGATAAGGATTAATTCGTACTCTTTACCTACCCCCTCCCTACAGTGCTGGATACCCGTATAAATGAGAACGGCACGGTTACACCTGCTGAGCCAGGCTCTGGCTCCGGTGGGGCCCTGGTGAGTTGGGGTTTTAGGAGGAGGGCAGCAGGGAAGTTACTCAGGCATCCCACATGTAGCAGGTGAAGGGGCCCAGACTTCCAGAGGTGGCAGGTGCTTGGGAGGGGGAATCCCAGGCGGGGGTGGGCGATGGTGGTGGGACATTGGGAGCCCTGGATGCATCTCAGATGAGGTTGGACAGTCAACCTGTCCCCTCTCCTGCAGTCTCAGGGGGCTATCACTGCCATCATTGTGGTCTTCTCCCTCCTGGCTGCCCTGCTTCTGGCCGTGGGGCTCGTGTTGCTGGTGCGAAAACTGCGTGAAAAGCGACAGACAGAGGGCACCTACCGGCCCAGCAGCGAGGAGCAGGTGGGTGCCCGCGTACCGCCGCCCCCCAACCTCAAGCTGCCGCCCGAGGAGCGGCTCATCTGAATGCTGGGGCCCGCTGCAGCCACCACCACTGGCCAGGATCGCCCGGTGCTCGCTCACACACAGCAACTGCCACCAAGACAACAGCCTCTGAGGGTTCAGGAGGACTTGGGGGGCCACGGGGCACCTGCCTGGCGGGCTCGGTGAAGCATGCCACCTCTGCTTGACTCTGCCTGCAGTTGGGGATGCCGGGGCTGGGGGCCGCCTCCACGCTTGCTGCACCGTCTTCGATCGGCCTTCTGTCCTGCTGCCACACAGGCCCGACAAAGCCTCTCCTTTCCTTTCAGTTCAACCATGCAGCCGAGGCCCGGGCTCCCCAGGACTCCAAGGAGACAGTGCGGGGCTGCCTGCCCATCTAGGTCTCCTTGTCTATCCGTCTTCCTTGCTGTGTGACCTTGGGGGAAGGCAGAGCCCTCTCTGGGTAATCAGACCTACCCAGTGCTTAAGAATAGCAGGGAAGAAGGTGCTTTAAAGACTCTGTCCCTGAGGGCAAGGGAGAGAGAGTGTACTGCTCACATTTTATATACATACACACATACATACATTTGGTAGTGAGATATAATAAAAGCTTTTTCTCTTTGAGCTGATGGGGGCAGGAGTTAGTCTAGATGGAGGGAACAAACACAGGGCTCATAGGCTGTTGAGAGATGAATTGTAAGGTTGCAAGGATCCTAGGACTAGGAGGGCTTCCTGGAAGGGAGGGACTTTCAGCTACACGTCAGAACCAGCTGGAGGCTGCCCCAGGAGGAAGGAAGTGGATGGGGTACATTTCTGAGCAGAGAAAGAGCCCCCAGATAAACTCACCAGGAAAACCAGCTTTGAGTTCTTGTGGCTTTATTGAAGGACTGGGGTCTCTTCCAGGTCCCTGATTCTTAACCTTCAAAACACTTTTTAAGCTCAGCGACTCTGGGCCGGCTCCAAGCCTGGGGTTCCTGCCAGTTGGCAGGTGCAGCAGGGGATCTGAGGGCCTCTGGCCCCTCTGGGAGCTGGAGGTGAGCGTGCTCTGCCTGTGGGACATCAGAGGGCTGGGATCTGGGGTCCTCTGGGGAACCAGGATCTGAGGAAGAATCAAGGGGTTGGGATGTCCAGGTAATATCCAAGTTGGGCTTTGCGGGGACCAGAAGTTGGGGACTTTCCAGAGGGCTGGAATGGGTGGGTGCTGTGGAGAGCTGGGCGCAGGGGCTCTCCTGGGCCCTGGGATCTTTGGCTGTCTTGGGGGAAGGAGAGAGATGTAGGATTAGAAGATGGGGCTCAGGGTCTCCTTGGCTGCTTGGATCCGCGGAAGCCAATGAGGACTGGGATGAAAAGATGATTTCTTGGTTGGCCTCCAAGTGTGGCTGGGAAATAGGGTCCTTTGAGGAGGTCATGGCATCCAAAGGCTGGAGGGTTTGCAGAGATGGCAGGTCAGCAGGTAGGGACAGGGGCTGAGGCTCTGGTGGTTTTTCCTCATCTGGTTGCCATCTTGATGTTCCTGGGATGTCAGGCTGGATAGGGGTGGGGAGATGGGCAAGTTGCTGGCCTTCAGAAGCTGGAGGGGCTGGGAAGAAAGACGGACTAGAGGGGGAGGACTGGGGGGCTCTCACCAAACTGAAGCAGCTGTCTGGGTCCCTTCTGTGGCAGCAGTCCAAGCTCTGGCTGGGCCGCAGGCCCCCCGTCCTGCTGGCTCCCATGCTTAGACTGTCCAGAATCTCACTCAGCAAATCCAGCTCTTCTCCGGACCCCAGGAAACTGCTGTCCAGAGCTTCCTCTGCCCATGGGTCCTGGGCATCCTCAGGGCTCAGAGAAGGTGCCCTGGGTAAGGATGGGAGCCTTGGATGTCTGCCCAAGACCCCAGTCCTGACTGGGCTCCTCTGGAGCTTCTTGAGTTTAGGCACCATCCTCCCCATGGGTCCTAGCCTCCCACTTCCAGCTTTGCCCCCTCCCCACTCCCAGCCTTTGAGCCTTACCCCTCCTCCAGGGACTCAGAAGGGCTCTCCAGCCCCCTTCTTCTGCTAGGGCGCAGGGGCCGGTTCTGCAAAGGACAGATTTGGAGGGCGGGGCCTCAGGAACTACAGAATCAGGTTTCTGGAGGAGGGTGAGTGTTAAGTGGGTTCCGGATATTGGGGTAGGTGAGTGAGAAGTCTGGGTGGAGACGGAATGGGAGGAGGACTAGGTGGTAATTCCAGGTGTGAGCCTTTGCGGTGAGGGGTGGGGTGGGGGGACACAGGTACCTTTCCAAAGTGCTGGGTGATAGGCAGGCGCTGCTGCAGGCGATCTGATCGGCTGGTGAGGGACAGGGCTCTCAGGGAACCCCCCCTTTGCAGGCCAGAGTCCCCATCCTAGGAAGAGGGTGGGTGAGCCAGGAGCCCCTTCTTCCACTGCCCCAGCCATTGGCTACTGGCCTTACCTTGTACATCAGAAGGCTCTGCACACCCTTCAAGCCGCTCTTGGCCTGCGGAGGAGCCAAAAGAGAATTAACCTCCTTGGTGATTTGACCCCGAGCATTTTGACAACTCAGCTCTCCATCCCATAGGACAACTGCCTTGCCCTCTGTTCACATTTGTGCCTCACAGACAGCCACAATTCTCCATGCACCACCTAAGAAGTCAACCCAAGTGTTCCCAGGGGACATAACCACTGAATGAAATGGGGAGTGGCAAAAATGGAACATTGTAATAATGCACCAGCATTCAAAAACCAGGCAAGTGAATAAAACCTAAGGGACAATTTGGAGCTGCAGACATTGGCCACAGGACACCTCGGGGCTCGGGAGACAAGGAAACCGAAGGGCAGAGGCTGGGACTGTAGCGTCAGCGGACAGAAGTTGTTCACCAATGAAGCTGGGTTGTCAATTTCAAATAGGGAAGAAACGATCCTGACGAAAGTAGGCAAATGGAGAATAAAAGCAGGAAAACTTGTTAATGGCTTAACTGCTGGTTTGGTTCTGATCAAAATGTTTGCACTTTAAATCCGGGGTGGGGGGTAAAATGTCCTGCTCCCATGAGGGGTTGACATGTGCCTTGTCCCCTTGTCTTTGTCACCCCGGTAAGTGGCCTGTCTACTGTAGCCTCACCGAGCGGTACATGTTTCTGACAGCTGGTTGGGTCTTGGCCTTGACAGAATGCAGGAGGGCACCACCACCTTTCTGGGAAGAGAGAACAGCAAGGGAGAGATACTCAGTACCCTGGGGTTACCCATGGCTCCACCTCCCCACCCCGGCTGTGTGATGCTGGACAAGGCCCTCTCCCTAGGCTAGTCTCAATATCTTCACTTCTGTCTGTAAATGAGCATAATGATGACCCTCCCTGGGGACTGTTATGGAGCTAAGTCAGCCCAAAATAAACGCTAAACACGTGTCCGGTGTTAGCTACCTTTAGGTTGTCTGCCCAGAGCTGGTAGGAGCGAACAGCGCCTGCAATGAGGAGACGTGGTCATGGCTGGTGCGCAGAGGCTGGGGTGCTGGTGGGGCGGGGGCTACGGGCTAGGCACAGGGCTCACCTGAGGAGCCCCCGCTGCGGGTGATCTCCTGCTCAAAGAGATCTGAGAAGCCCTCTCCCGTGTTCAGTTTCTCCAGTCGGTCTTCAATGAACTGGGGGAGGGGGAAGGGTCAGAAAGGGCTGCCACCAACGCATCCGAATTCGGGGACTCAGGATTCTACCCACGCAGAAGCCATCCCTGGCCCCTCCAGGGATCCACCCCCGGAGCCTCCTCAGGATGCCAGAAGCCCAACCCTCTCCCCGCTGCCGCTGTCTGAATCCTTCAGGGACCAGACCCCGCCCCTCATAGGGACCCGGAAGTCGGACTCTGACACTCCTGACCGGCCCCCCTCCTTTCGGTGATCCTGGAAGAAGTCGACCTCATCTTCAGGGACCCGAGAACCTATCCCAACACAGATGGACCCTAGAGTCCAGTCCACTTCCGAAGAACCCAGGAATCCGGCTCCACTTCTCTCCTATGTCCCTGCAACCCCGGAGTCCCCGCCCGGCTCCTCCCCAGCAAGGGGAGTGCGCACTCGCGACCCGCCCCTTTCAGTGTCCCGCACGTACCGTACAACCCCGGAGTCCCACTCCCGCCCCGGATGCTCTATCCTTAGGGACCCAGGGATTTAATCCCACCTCAATCTCCCCAGGAACCTGGGAGTAGATCTTATCCCCAGGAGTCAGGGGCTCCCAACTTCAGGGAAACCGTAGTTCCGTCATGCCTCCCGGGGACCCGGGGACCCTGAAGGGTGGGACTCCGCCGGACCGCCTCTAGTCTCCCCTCTAGCTCCAGCTCGCCGCCCAGGGACCCAGGATTTTCCGCTCTCGCCCAGGCCCCCAGCGCCGCCCTCAGGGTTCTGGCGCACCTGTTTGAACAGCTGCAGGTGCACAGCCCGTCGATGGAAGGCCTGCAGGGGCGCCCCGGGCTTCTGGGCCAAGAAGGCTTCTTCGCTGAAGGTCACAGGCTGGCCCTAGAAGAAATACCCGCGATCTAAACTTCCGTGGCTCTCCTGGACCCCAGCTGTCTCCTTATTCTATCGTGTGTCTATGCAGCAAACTTAAAATGGGACCGGAATGGTATCTATCTCATCATACGGTTGTGAGCATTAAATGAGATATAGTGACAGTAAAACCTAGCATTTGTCGAGTGCTCACGATGTGCTAGGCACTATCCAAATATTTTGCGCATGCCCATCCACTGACTCCCATGACCCTTTTGTGCGGGTACTCGTGGGATTCCATTTGACAGATGAACAAGCAGAGGCACAGAGTTAGCACTCCATAAAGGCTAGGTATTATTATTGTTGTTGTTGTTGTTCCTTCAAGGACCCAGCAGGCCTCTCCCTTAGCCTCTCCACTGCTCACCGGGCTGCAGATGAGCGCGTCGCGGTAGCCCCCGAAGAGCAGAGCCTGCGCTTTGAGGAAAAGACGGGAAACCCCTTCCCCGGGTGCCAGAGCAACCTTCCTTAGCCGCAGCCTCAGCAGGGACACCTGCGGGACATTGGGAAGCTGTGAGCGGGCGGGTGTGAGGCCTCGGCCTCCGCGACGCGGCAGGAGCATAGAAGGGGGTGACACTGACCACGTCTGGGGGCAAAGCTTGCACGTCGTCGAAGGGCGTCTCCAAGGTATTGGAGTCCACGTTCATGACCACGACCTCCTCCAGAGCTTTCTCCCGCACTCTCTGCGTTGGGGAGTGGGGGTGGGGACAGCCGCTCAGAGCCAGAGGATCTCTGGCCCGGGCGGTTCTTGGGAATGCAGGAGGAGGAGAATCCCGTCCACCGCTGCGGTCCGGGTCCGCCCCCACTCACCTCGGCGAGACTGGAGTGCACTCCGATGAGGTAGGGCATGGGCGCACTGCAGACAACCGAGGGGACAGGTCATGCGAGTGCCGTCCCACAGTCTCCAGGACCCCTGGGCTCTTCCCCAAGCCCCGCCGCTCCCAGTCTCCCGCCCCTCACCAGCAGTAGTCTAGCAGGTGCGGCGGCAGCGTGGGGATCAGCACGTGCTCCCAGTGCATGGGGTACAGGAGGGCGCAGGACGCGTGGACGCACGATGTCAGCTGTGGATACATAGGGGGCCGTGGAGTCAAGGACTGGACATATCCCCCTCCCCAAGCTTCAGGGAGGGCGCAGGACGCGTGGACGCACGATGTCAGCTGTGGATACACAGGGGGCCGTGGAGTCAAGGACTGGACATACCCCCCTCCCCAAGCTTCAGGGACCTTCTTTGGGATGGTGGCTCTCCTGGCTCCATTTCCCACGTCCCCAGGCTTCTGTCCCTATCTCCCCCTCCTCGTCCCTTCCCCACGCACTACTGGGTAAGAGGTGGAAATTCAAATCCCTTTAGGAGTCCTGTGAAGCCCAAGAATTCGGCAAATTACAGTGTTTGGAGCTGGTGGGGCCACTACTCAGCAGGACTCAGTCTTTACGTTTAGGGGGCGGAGCTAATATGCAACCCTCCGGATCTCTCCCCTCAGTGGTAGAACAGCCCAGTAACTCCACCCCTAAGAGGCGGAGCTAGAGCTCAGCTTCCCTCGGTCCTTAGGGATGGAGCTCGCGTTCGTCCTGCATTCGCGACCTCCGTCCTTCTCTTAGGGACGAAACTACAATTTAGCCCTCCCTGGATGCCTCCCCCCAGAGGGGCGGAGCCAGCCTTGTTTCGGCCCCTAGTGGGTGGGGTCTGGACTAAGCTCTCCCAAAGAGGGGGCACTACAGCGCAGCCCACTCTGAGTCCCCCCAGAAGGGCGGAGCCAGGATCCAGAACAACCCTGATTTTCAAACGGGCAGAGCCAGGACTTTGCCTCGACTCTCACGCTGTGGAATTAGAACCAGGAATCTGCCCCGCCGTCCCGCCCCCAGGGACCAAGCCAGGCCTGGGCCCCACCCGCGGCCCGGCTGGCCCCGCCTCACGGTGCTCAGCTTGCTGGCGATGAGTAGGACCCTTCTCTCCGCCAGGAGCGCGGCGAACAGCCCCACGATGTTCTCGTCGGTTACCGCCACCACCAGCTCCGTTAGGTTCCTCTGAGGATCGGAGAGAAGCGCTGGGCGCATGGGACCGCGGGATCCGACCGCCCCCTCTGGGTGGGTTTCGGGACTCCCCGCCCCCCGGACTCCCCGACCCCAAGACCGAACTCACGTTCTCAGGAATGGATGGCAGGCGGCCGGAGTCGGGGGCTACGAAGCAGGAAAGCTGGTGGGGAGCGATGGGCGGGGGCACCGATCAGTCAGGGGTCGGCCTCACCTGGGTGCCCAACCTAACCGGGTCCCCAGTTCTGCTCACCGGCCCGCTGTTCCCGGGGGCAGGGGGCGGGATGCTTTGCGCACTGGAGACAGTCACTCCGCGGCCCTGGGAGAGAGGTTGTGGCTGTGTGGTCCTCAGGGCTGGGGTGCAGCTTCCCCATCCACCCAAGGGGGTCCCCCAGAGGCTGGGGGCTACTCACCAGCTCGACTGACGCCTGAGTCCCAGGCAGGGGCTGCTGCAGGAGGTTTAGGAGAAGTTCCTCAACCTCAGAGACCTGGGTGGGAGCGGGGTGTCTGAGCCAGGACGTGGGTTGGGGATTCTGAGGACCTTGACTGGGGCTGAGTGGTCTGGGAGGAGCCGAGGGTCTTAGGTCAGGCCTGGAGGTTCTGAGCCTGGCCAGGGGCTTGGGAGGGTAGGGCTGGGACTCGCACAGGATTAAGGGGGTGCTGGTCTCACTTGGTCCTGGGCCAGGAGATCGCCCACTGTGTTCAGCAGCTTGTAGAACACCTCAAACCAAGGCAGGTGACTATAGGGAGAAAAGAGATTCTATGAACTACCCCTAGGCCAGGGCCCTTCCCACCCCCACCCCAGAGCCCATACCCCACACCTGAGGATGCAGAGGCAACTGTGGGCACCAGCCCGTAGGTGGCAGAAACCATATCGGCGGGTGCCGCTCAGGTCGGTGAGGGCGAAGGTGAAATGCTGCACAGCTGCACTCGGGGGTTCCCTGCAGGTGGGAAGGGCTCTCAGAGACCTGAGGGTCCCAGCTCCCTGATCTGTCCCCCTCCCCCAGCCAGTACTGTGTCCACCAGTCTGAGTTCCTGGGTCCCTGAGTGTCCACTTCTATCCATACCTTTCCACATCAAAAGGGAAGCAGAATTTAGGCACCATCTGCATAGCCTCCTGGGGGTGGAGAGAAGCACATGCTGCTTGACAGCCCACCCCTGGCCAAGACAGTCTTCTGCCTTGGGTAGACTGGCCCGGGTCCAAGGGGAGGAAAGAGCCAGCCTGCATACCTGGTCCCTGAAGTCTGGGGGGAACTGCCGCAGGATGGGGGGATCTGTGGGAGAGCAGGCTTCTAAGTGCAGGGCCCCAGGCCCATCCTCCAGGTCCCACTCCCACCTGAGGCCCCCAACTCACCCTCCTGCAGGGAGGCAGGACAGGCTGCTTCAAAGAACCAATCGAACACGGCAGGTGGATCCCCTCTGTGGGACAGGACACGTGGGACATCAGCTCAGTGAGTCCAGGGGCTTGCTTCTGCTTGTGCAGTCGTGCAATATGGGTGTCTGCAACACCACATGTGTGTGCGCGTGACAGGTGTAACTGTGTGTGTGTGCCCTCAGTGATTTGTGGCGGTGTGTACAGGTCATGTGCTGCTGTGTGAACAGTATTGTTGATTGTGTATGCATGACTGAGAAGTGTGGAGCAGAATGAGAGTGTGACTCTGTGTGTGTGTGTGTGTGTGTGTGTGTGTGTGTGTGATTCTATCCTGTGTCTGCCTGGCTGTCCAGTAGGTGTCAGGTGGGAGTGCAAGTGTGTGTGATCTAGCCAGTGCAAGTACAAATAACATGCACAATTTCTTGCGTGGCTGTGAGTGTGGCCGAGTCAGTATGTGTGTGCCTGCCCGGGATCGTTTCAAGAGCAAGAGCGCCTGCCCCTGTTTCTCGGGGTGGGAGACTTCATGGTGCCCCAGGGGCTGACCCCAGACTTCTCATCAGAGCAAGGAGGGCCACAAACCCTGGGCTGTGAGCCGTGCCCTCTCTGCCGTGCTCGCTTGCCCCCCCTACTCTGCCCACCCCACAGAGGATGCTGGGACTTGGGCTCTGGGGGAGCGACAGAGAGACCTGAGGAGAGACAGTGGTCGGATGGGTCTGGCTGCAGACACACGCAGCCTCTGACACCCCGCCATGGGTACCCCAAGCTCTTCACCCTCCTGCCCACGCGATCCCACACAAGCAACTGGGCACAAGGCCCCACACCATCTTCTCTCACCTCTCAGTCCCCTGCTGGCCCCCTGAAGCCATGTTCCCCATCTCTCTGATACACCAAGAGGTGCCTGCTCAGAGTTACAGACTTAGTCATGCAGAGCCGGAAGGCGAAAGAGAGAGAGAGAGGAAGGAAAGAGGGGCTGAGAGTGGCCTGAGAGTGCCTGAGAGTCAAGTTCACGCTGCAGGCCCGCTGAGATACCTGCCCCAGTCCCAGCCACCTGCCGCTGTGGCTCACAGCCCCTCCCCGGCCTGCCCCAGTTCAGCTCCTCTTGGCCCCAGCCCAGGCCTGCTCTGGGAGTCGTGGTCCAGAGAGTGGGGAAGGGCGCAGCTCTTACTCTGCTTTGGATCCCATGGTCCCTGCAGGGCCACCTCCGGCAGCGGGGCCCTTGCCCCAGGGGTCCTGGGGGCCTGTGCTTGCGCAGGGCTGGGCCCTGAGCCCGCTCAACTTCCTGTGTGGCTGGGAGAGGAAGTTTGACGGGGTGACGTCCTGGAGGGAGGCCCCCGCCCCCACCCACTGAGAGACCCAGGCATCCTGCCTCCTAGCCTTCTGAGGGTAGGGTGAGCGTGGGTGGCAGGCTCAGAGGCTAGACCCCCAGCACCGCTCTGCCAGGCCAAGGCACCTCTAGTCCCTGACATCACACCCAAGCCTTCCTCTCTCTGGGGCAGCCAAAGATTCACAATTTGCTTGAAATGCTTCCTCTTTTTCCTCAACTCTTCCTTCCTTTGGCCCATCAGCACCGGCCATTCCCTGTAGGACCACCAGAGGGAGCCAGGCTGGAGAGTGGACACAGGGGAGCCAGGGAGGTGAACGTCCCACAGACAGAGTGTCCTCACGGACACAAACCCAGGAGTGCAGAGGGACAGCACACATCCAGAGAAGTCCTTGCCCAGCCATGTGACAGATGCAGAGGTGACACACAGGTGCAGCCAGCAGCTGGTTCCAGACAAAGACTACAGATCACAGCGGTGGGTACAGACAGGACCATGGAAATACAGATCTGGACAAGAGACAGAAGTGCATAGAGTGCAGATACAGATAGAACAGTAACAGAGGGACAGACATGGTCAGGACCCCGCCCCGAGCCAGAGTCATAGCCAGACATAGTCATGCACACGGAGAGAGACCCATCCAGACACCCGCAAGCAGAGTTGCAGACCCGGAAAGAGACGGAATGCAAGTGGACAGACGGCCACCTTGTCCTTGGGAAGCACAAGGACATACTTGCAGGCACAAAGGCAGAACACAATACAGGTACCCATGTTCACGCACATACACAGAAAACCCCAGAGGCAGACCGAGGGAGTCCAAATTCAACAGACCCTGTGAGACTCCTTGGACTCCTGAAAGGTACTGAGAAGGTCTGTATGGATATAGGTGTGCGCAGGTGAGAATTCACATGCCTGGCATGTCCTGGGGGAGTCTGGAGGTGGGCGTCTGTGTGGCTGTGGGGTCTGTGTCTCCTCCATCAGACTGTGTAAAGATGCAGGTGATTCTGTGCATGTCTGTTGTGACTGTGTTTACACCTCTGATGTGTGAACTCAGAGTGGGATTCTCTGGGCAGCTCAGAGCTGTATCTGGAACGTAAATGGGTATGGTGCCTGTCTCACAGATCCTGTGATGTCTCAGTGAGAGAATTCATGTAAAATGTTTACTATGAGGCCTGAATAAAGCCTTTTTTTAAAAGATTATTTATTTATTTATTTGACAGGCAGAGATCACAAGTAGGGGGAGAGGCAGGCAGAGAGGAGGAAGCAGGCTCCCTGCTGAGCAGAGAGCCCAATGAGGGGCTCGATCCCAGGACCCTGGGATCATGACCCGAGCTGAAGGCAGAGGCTTTAACCCACTGAGACACCCAGGTGCCCCCTGAATCAAGCTTTTGATATGCTCTGTCTGTTATTGTGGGAGGAAGGTCAGCTGAATGTTTAAGAAAGTGACCTTGGAGTCACAGAGACCTGAGTTCAAAGGCCTGACTCCATTCTTTAATGTCTCCCTTCTTTAATGACCTTAGGCAAGTCATTTGACTTCTCTGTATTAATTAACTATTGCTGTGTAACAAATCACCCTAGAGTCAGTGGCATAAGAGAACATATATTTGTCATCTGACAGTTTCTGTGAGGGCCAGGACTCAGGGCACAGCTTATCAAAATCTTCTATTTCGGGGTCTCTTAGCTGTAGTAAGGAGCCTAAAGGGCTGTGGTCTCATCTGTAGGACCAGCTGGGGAAGGGGCTGCTTTGAAGCTCGCTATTTAGTTGTTGGCAGGACTGGGTTCATTGTGGATTGTTGGACCGAGTGTCTCAGGCCCTCACTGCCTGCTGGCTAGAGGATACCCTTGGTTCTTTGCCATGTGGACCTTCCCAACATGCTGCTTGCTTCACTACCGCAAGCAAGCTGAGAAGGTCACAGAGCTCATCAAGATGGAAGTCCCAGTCTTTTGTAACCTGATCTTGGAAGTGGTGTCCCAATATCTCTGATGTACCCTGTTGGTCAGAAGCCATCACCAGGTCCAGCCCCACACTCAATGGGAGGGGATCACCCAAGGGCGTGAGTAGGGGAGATGGGCCTCCTAGGGGATTAGTCTGAGAAGCTGCCTTCTGTACTCTCTCCTTCATTCTTCTCTCTGTAGAAGGAGAAAATCAGGACATCTACAGTGCACTTGCTCATTCATGCAACAAAGAATTACTGAGGGCCTGTGTTACATCAGGTTGTTCTAGGCACGTGGTGACCAAGGTAGACAAGGTTCCTATTGTTGTGGAGCTTACATACCAGTGGAGAGGCAAGAGGACAGACAGAAGAAACAGGTGTGTAAATAGACAAGATAATTTGTGAGTTAGCAATAGGTGCCATCAGTGAAATGAAACAAGATAGCAGATGGAGAGGGGCTGGGTGCTAATTTCTGTTTGCCAAGGGCAGGCTGCTCCGAGGAGGTGACATTTGAATGGAAAGCTGTAGACCAGAAGTGGCCAGTCGTGAGCACCTCTGGTAGCAGAATGGCATGCACAAAGGCCCTGAGGTTGAATCAAGCTTGATTGGATTGAGCACAAAAAGGTCACTGCAGTTTCAGCTTAATGAGTGTGGGGGAGGGTGATAGGGATGGAGTCAGCAGAGGGTAGAGACCAAGGTGAGAATTTGGGCTTCAGCCTGAGTGTGAGGAGAGTGGTGGGAAGGTTTGAGCTGGGGAGGGACAGTCTCTTATTTGCATATAAAGGCTCCTCTCTGGCTGCTTTGGAAGGAGGACTCACTTCAGGGTGACTGGGGTAGCAGAAGGGTGTCCAGGAAAGCGATTGCAGGGAGGTTTCTGAATGTGGAAAATGGTGGCTTACCCCAGGGTATAGACAAGTGGGGAGAAGGGGTCAAATTTGCGATATATTTTGGAGACGCAGACAGTGAGCCTCAGCAAAAGATAGGAAGTGCGTGTGGGGCATAGGAAACGAGGAATCAAGGCTGACTGCTAGCTTTGGGGTCTGAGCAACCGGATGGTGCCATTCATTGGAGAAGGGGATGTTTTGGGAGTAGAAGAGGGAGTTCTTTTGGGGCCACATTAGGTTTTAGATGACAAAGAGAGCCAAGTTCACTGCCTCATCCATTGTCTTTCTGCTCCACCACCCCTCACTGTGCTGAGCCTGCTGAGCTGTGGGTTGGTGGGGGCGGGGTATCCAGGCTGTTGTCTCTACACTTCCTCCTAGCTGCCGTGAGACCCAGTCAGGGGGCTGGAAGGCCAGTCTGGGTGTGTGGGAGAGCATAGAGTGTGCTGGAAAGAGCTGACTGGTTCTCAGCATCTCTCCTCCTTTCTTCTCTTCCTCCTGGTTTGCCTGCCTTTGGTATTGCAGAAGTGAGAAAATTAAAAACAAAACAAAACAAAACGCTTCCTAGACTTCTTCCCAGCTCCAGTTCTGGTTGCAGATGAATTTCTACCAAGGAAAAATGCTCATAAAATTTGGAAGGCAGAGAGGCAGAACTCTGTGTGTGTGCGTGCCTATTTCCAGCTTTGCGGGTGTTGGGAGATGTGCTTGGATTCGGTAATTCTGGGGGCAGCCTCTCAAGCCTCTACCTTTCTCACTGAGCAGAGGAAGCAGCTCCCTGATGGCCGAGCTCTGTGATGTTCCACATGATTCCAGGGCTACTAAAAAATGTGTTCTCATGAGCACCACCAACCCCATCAGCTGGGAGCTTGTTAAAAATGCAAAGTCTGGGGGCGCCTGGATGGTTCAGTCAGTGGAGTGCACAAGTCTTGATCTCAGGATGTGGGTGTGAGCCCTGCGTTGGGTAAGGGAGATTACATAAAAATAATATCTTTAAAAAAAATGCAGTCTTGGGCCCCACTCCCCCAATCTACTACTCCAGGAACTCTATGTAGAACCCAGGAAGCCATGCTCTAGCCAAGTTTTCCTGTTGATTTTTATTTTTTACATTTTCTTTTTAAAAATGTAAGCTCTACACCCACCTTGGGGCTTGAGCTGATGACCCCGAGACCACGAGTGTGTTCTACCCGCTGAGACAGCCAGGCACCCCTTCTTGGTGATTCTTTTGCACATCAAAGTTTAAGAAATACTGGCCTACAACTCACTTTCAGTCCCTCCAACAATGTTACAAGCCCCTAAATCCTTGCATTAAATCCTTTTCTGCTCCAAATGCCTACCAGAGTCCTTGCACTGAGCTCTGGCTGATAAAGAGGAATCAGAGTTGGAGGCTTCACCGGGTCAGTGCTTGGACTCTGGCTCACCGCTTCACAGCTGTGGGACTTCGCGCAAGAGACTCCTTGCGGCAAACTGCAATTTCCACAGATGGTCACAGCCACGTCTCCCATCCCATATGCCCTTCTGGAATCTTGCCTCCAGTCTACATCCCAACCTCTCGAACCTGGGTAGGCCTTCCTGAGCCTGTTGGTTAGGAGTCTGGAGGACACTCTCTGACTTCTGAAGGTAGGTCAGGCAAATGCGGTGTATTCTGCCTCCCTCTCTTGCGATGGTTGCTGGGGGCGGGGCGCGGGGACCAGTCACCATGCTGTGAGGATCCCCCAGCAGACTACAGAGGGAAAGTGATGCCCTCCTCCCAGCCCTTCTGAACAAATCGAGACTCAGAGACGGAAAGTGGCTTGCCCTACTCAGTTACCCCGCTCTCCGGGGATGGGACGCTGAAACCTCCATCCCGCTCCCCATCACCCCCAGAGCAGATGCCCGTCCCCACCCCCTTCCATCCCGAAAGGCTCACTTGCCAGATGGCGCAGGATGACGAAAAATGCACAGGACAGAAACAGGGCAGGACACCGTTTATTAAGCAGAGGCGAAAGGAGGCGGGAGGGTCGAGGGCACAGCGCCTTTGGCACGCAGGCTCCCAGGCTGCAGCAGGGGCCGCCCTCCACCACCCCTGAGGGGGAAACCGAGGTTGGCCAGGGCTGGAGGGGAGGGGAGGGGCGCTCGGGGGAGCCAGAGATCACAGGTGAGGGGGAGCTCAGCAGTTGGGGTGGACGACAGT